TTTAAAACCATTAAAATACATATTTTTTTTGTCAAACAAGATTCACCTCTTAAAGATTCAGAAACTTTTTTTGCCAAAGAAAATTCATGGAATTATTAAGTGGTAAATAAACAACCCCTAAGCCGAACATAACCAGTTTGGTATTGTACTTTTCCCTTATTTTAACTAATATAACTGAATAGATTGAGAATTTGTTGGATTCGTATACGACGTAACAACCATACGAGAAGTCAGTGGGAAATATGCTCAACTTCGAACAATCACAGGTTTTGAACCACGTAGATTTCAAGACAGGCTACAGTCAATGAAAAGTTTTGATAAAATCATGCGAAATCTCAAGTATTTTTCACTCACATTATTTTGGGTAGAGCCTTGTAGTATTTTCTGTATAATTATAAATCCGGACAATTCTTAAAGACCTACGATAGATTGGCAACATGTTTTATAATAAACAGAAAAATATGTTTATTATTCTGTCACGTAAAGAAAATATTATCATTCAATAACACAATTCTAATGTGGCGTTTAATTCGCAGAATGTTTTTGGATGAAATGAAATTTGTTAAAAGGAATTTAACTTTGAATAAATTGGAATGAAATGTTGTCAGGTTTGACCACATGTTTGGTTGACAAATATTGGAATGAAATATGTTAAGAAATTGAAATATGTTTGTTTGGTTCATAGAATAGAATGTAGCTTTGGAATTGGAATGAAATACTGGTAAATAACCAAAATGCCATTTTTTGAAAATTTTAATTTTTCTAAAACTAAAATAGTTTAATAAAATAATTATATTATATGTAAAACAATATAAAATACATAACCCAAATATAATCATAAGCCAAACAACGTTACTAAATCGACGGTGGTTCACATCGGTGGCGGTCCACGGTGGTTCACATCGGTGGTGGTCCACGGTGGTTCAGAAGACGATAGTCGCCAATGCTTCAGATCGATGGTGGCTCAAAGTGGTTCAAATGGAGGTGGTCAACGGTGGTTCAAATCGGTGGCGACGGCAGTTCAGATCGATGGTTGTTTGAACGGTGGTGGTCGACGGTGTTCGTCGGTGAATTAGATCAGTGGTAGTCGACGATGATTCAGATCGATGGTGGTTCAGGTGGTGGTGGTTGGATGAGGTTTAGATCGGGGGTGGATCAGATAGGTGGTTGTTCAGATCGGTGATGGTCGGCGGTGGTTCAGATCGGCGGTGCCCGACGGTAATTCAAATCGGTAGTCGTTGGAGGTGGTTCAGATAGCGATGGTCGACAATGGTTCAGATCGGTGGTGGTCCATGGTGGTTCATATGACGGTGATAGGCGATGGTTCAAAGTGGTCGACGGTGGTTTAGATCGGTAGTGGTCGACGGTGGTTTAGATCGGTAGTGGTTCAAATCGTTGGTGGTTGGCGGTGGTTCAGATCGGTGGTAGTCGGCGATGGTGGTTTAGATGGCGATGGTCAGCGGTGGTTCAGATGGTGGTGGACGGCGGTGATTCAGATCGATGGTGGTCGGAGGTGGTCAACGATGGTCATATTAGGCTTTTATGAGATTAGGGTATATTGTGTTAAAAGCATATTTGGTATTATGAAGATAGAGAAATTTATTCCATCAAAATACCATGTAGTTGCTAAGAAATGTTAAATTCTTTTATTTGTGGAATTTGTAGGATTTTGAAAATTTCTTACGTGAAAAAGAATGAATCAAACAAGATAATGAAATTTGGTCAATGAAATTCAATATTCCAATTCCATCATAAATTAACTTATCATAAATTTTTATGAGTTAGAAAAAAACAAACTCCATACAAGTTAAGTTCAAGATAATGTTTTTTTTTAAATTAATCTTTAAAAAATTAAACTGCTCATAATATAAACGTTTTTCCAATTTATTTGTTTTTTGAAATTTAAGATATGATTTTGAAATTTATTTGTGGGTGGCTTGGATAGCAGCCGTTCATTTACGACTCATTGTCGTTTGTATTAAATATTTATTTTTACATATTTTAACAATCTCCCAACAACATTAATAGCCATCATCAAAACCTAGATTTTTCAATAACATTGAAACTTAAATTCAGGGGTTGACGACAGTAGGAAAAAATAAGCAAAACCCATAATGGTTGGTGATGGTGGTCCACAATGCTAGAGAGTCAAGATGAGTTAAGACTATGAACTTGATAACTCACTTGGTAACAGGTGTGGGAATGGGCCTTGATCCGTCGGGAAACCCGGTCTATCCGTCCCGATCGGGGGACGGAGATTTCCTGCTAAATCGGAGACGGGGACGGGTATCGTACTCCCCGCCCCGTACCCGTTATATATCAATATATATATATATATATATATAGAGAGAGAGAGAGAGAGAGAGAGAGACTCAGGATCATGTGAGACCCGGAAGACCAATTCTTAATCTTTGGATTATATCTACAATCTAAACATTCATAATCACAAAATTGCCACGAGACTCCTCAATAATTACAAAATTGTCACCGTGCAACTTTAGACCATTAGATCATTAGCTTATAAAGTTAATCAATTAACATAAATTGGTCTTACGGGTCTCACGAAAAACCTTTGGTCTCACGTGAACCCAACCCTATATATGTATATATGTATATTATTTATACATATATATATATATGTATATTATTTATTTCAATTAAAGCGGTAATTCATAAGTTATTAGTTCTTATATGATGTTGTGGTTTTTTTGTATTAAATTAAACTCATTTCGGTTTTAAGTTTATTGAAAATGTTTGAGAATTAAATATGTATGGTCTTTCATATATTTAATTTAAAATAACTTACATAAACAGGAAAAAAAATATATGTTTCCCCGTTAGGGATGTGGATGTGATTATATTCCCCGGCAGGGATGTAGACGAGGATAGAGATAAGTAATCGGGGACGGGGACGGAGATTAAAGTCCCCATCCAATTCCCATGCCTAGATAAGTCAACAGCAAGAAGGAGGGAGAGAACACAGAAGGAGGAACAACAACGATAAGGTTTCCAAACTACCATAGATCAATCGTTGATCAATTTAAACACGAAATAAAATTTGAACATAGAAAACAATTTTCCTATACATTCATGAAAAAAATTGTGATACAAATCCTAAAACCTAAATAAAAAATCCAATTCAAACCTTAAATTATAAACCAAATAAAAAGTATAAATTCAGATCGAGAAGAAGCAGATCCAGATAGAAACAATGAATCTAGACCCCCAATTTGGATTTGATTCGTTGAAAAAAATCCTCTTGAACGTTGCCGGTGATGGGTTGGTGGTGCAAAAACCGTCTTCAAAGGCGAGGAGTCATGCTCAATGGCGGTGATGGTGGATTTCGGCATAGTGAATAGTTTTGAGGGACGCGGAAGATTCAGATCTGCATTGATACATATCCGAACAAATTTTTTAATTTGAACATAGCAAGATATGGTTTAGAAACAGTATCAGTGGCAAGGAGGACGAGCAAAGGCGGACTCAATTTTTTTTGGCAATGATATCACAAGATAATTATCATAATAAAAATATATAATTAATCATATTATAATTACACAGACTCCATTTTTGACAATTTTGATCGATTAAACATAAATTAAATATCTGAGTGATTCAAAAACCGGTACACCAGTTCTTTTTTTCAAAAAATTATCCTTTAAACCTTTAAAATTAACCGCTTGTCGGGTTTATTTCTAGTTTTTCATTTGATGATATTATATGATTGGACCGAGATACAATATATTGACCTTAAATATCAACAGTAATTTATATTTTGAGTAATTAATTAAGTTACTAAAAAAAAACTACAAATAAATTATTGAATTTATTGAAATCAAACAAATAAATCCTTAAACTTGAATAAGGTATGGTTTCGATTCTTTTATGTTTAGTATGATAATAATTTGATTATGTTCATGTTGTTGTGTATCGATAAATTTACGCGTAAATCAATATTTACGAGTTTATGTTCATGACATCTTTCTAATGTAAATATTAATGGAGACTCAACAATCATATTAAATTCAAAAAATAAAAAGATATCGGGTTGGGTTTGATTCAAATAAAAGTAACCCGATACCTCTAATTTGAAGATTTTGCAACTCAGTTAGACATTGAGTTGAGTTATTTCTCGTTGGATAAAGTTGGGTTGATTTGGTTGGTCAGATTTTTGAGCACCCCTAAATAAAACTATGTTAAATGGTTTTAATAAAATATTTAATTTAATTAATAATTATATTGTTTGAAACATCATTAATTAATTAATTAATTAATTAGAACATGTGATATTGATATCTTTAATTTTTATTCATATTATAATGTTTACTTAAAATTATAATTTAATAGAGATCTTTTTTAAAATTTATTTTAACAAATCCAAAATTTATACTGCATATAATAATCTATTTGAAATTCTTTTAATTAACATATGATATTATTTAATTTTTCTTTACTATCTTGTTTATATTAAACAACATATTATATCATTTATTCTAGTTATATTATGAAAATGTTGTAATTGATTAATTTTTTAAGATGTTCTTTTTGATCCTTTTATATTTCTAATTTATCAGTTAGTTTTGTCAAATATAATTAGTTCATCGGTTAACTTATTAGCTTATTAATTCAGTCAGTTCAAGAACCATAGCTTAAGAAAGATTTTTGAGTTGTTAGATAATATATCTGAAATTAAAAAAAAAAACTTGTAATAAACTTAGGAGTTGTTTGTTTACCTCTTAATAGTTCCATTAAGAGGCAACCTCTGAATCGTTAAGAGGTGAATCTTGTTTGACAAAAAAAAAATCTGTCTCTTAATGGTTCTAAAACCCTATAAATGATTTTGTATCATGGATCTCCCTTAATCATTAAGAGCCATAATTTCATTGTACACAATTATCAAACAATTATATTTTATTTTGTACTATATCATAAAAACCTCTTAATCATTCTGACTTCTTAATCATTTTTCACTGAAAAAATCATTAAATGAAGAACTTACAAGGTACAAACATGATCTCCTTTTTTTTCCTTAAAACGGAAAGCAAGAAGTTGGGAGTTGCAACTGAGTGTTATAATCACACTCTACAAACATGTAAAACAACCACAAAAATGCAAATATTAACACTGTTTCACGAGTATTCAACTCCTCTTGCTAAATGTTATTTGAGCACCGTATTGGGGTTGCAAAGTAAGTGATAGCATCGGAGCATGAACGTACGAAGGCGATATCGTGAACGAGTATTGTCGAACGATCATAGCCAAAACGGTTTTCGCCTCAACCATCGTTAGGTTTTGGCCAACACAAACCCTAGCGCCCAACCCAAACGGGAAGAACGATGCTAAGTGGTTCCTAGGCTCCGCAAATCTCATAGGATTGAACTCGTTCGCATCTTCACCCCATGTTCCTACATCGTGATGAACTGCAGTCATGGCCAGAAAAAGTTCCGTACCAGCCGGGATATCGAGCCTACCCCCGAGTTTCACATTTTCCGTGACACGTCTCATCATCAGACCTGCCGGAGGATAGAGTCTTAGCGTTTCGTTCAATATCATTCTAACCTGTTAAAAACACAAATAAAAGCCATTAATCGCAAAAGTCAAATTCCATTATAAATTATAGACGGGTCGACTTACGATCTTTAATTCTGCCAAATTCTCGACACTAGGAAACGCGTTGGCTCCACAAACGCGGACAACTTCTTCGCGAGCCTTGTTTTGCCATTCTTGATGCCTTCCCAAAAGGAGAAATGTCCAAGTCAAGAAATGGGCGGGTGCTTCCTTTCCGATAAAGTAAAACGTCTTGCATTCACTCAAGATGTCGTCGAGAGGAATAACGTCGTCTTTCTTGTACGGTGACATCAATAACGCGGGCAGAGTTTGCGAATTCTGTTTCCTGTGTTTGTTTTTCTCGATCAGTTTCCGAATCAATTCTGTTGTTTCTTTCTCGAGCTTCCATCGTAGCCTGTTCATTTTCGTCGGTACATAGCTACACGCACCAAACAAATAAAAGTGCATGTCGACAATAATTCCGAATGATAATCGAAAGTATAACAAACATAAATGCAATGATCGGAAATGTACTTGAATCCCGGAATGTAGACATTCCGCAAGCCTTGCAGAACGAGCATAACTTGTCGTTGTTGCAACTCGAAGATCCGCTTGCCCTCCTCGAAACTGCTTCCGAACGCCGTGCGTGATATTATGTCGGCCGCGAGGTCGTGAAATTCCTTGTGCACGTCGAATTCGAATTCCGAACCGTTTGCTCCAATTTTAGCATCCCATTTGCTCATCATATTTCGAGTACTATCCACCATTTCGGGTATCCATTCCTAAACGAGTACCCCCAACCATACTTCGTTTAACAATTACAATGGATCGTTGAATAAGGGTAAGGGGTTGTTTGTTTATATTTTAATAGTTCTATTAAGAGGTAAATTTTGTTTGACAAAAAAAAAAGTATGTCAGTTAATGGTTCTAAAAATCCGCCGAATGATTTTGTATCATGCACCTCCCTTAACCAAAAGCGTCATAATTTCATCGTAAACAATTATCAAACAATTATATTTTCTTTTACGCTATATCATAAGAGTCTCTTAATCATTCTGACCACTTAATTATACTGCACCAAACCATCTAGAGAGTGTAATTAATTCCAACATTACCTTGATTCTCTCCAAGTTAAAGGCGTGGGTGGTGATCCTCCTATGAACAATCCACTTCTCCCCCTCCATCCCCATAAGTCCTCCAAAGAAAACCCTTGTATCGGGGGTGGCTTGGATCTTCCCAAACGACCCGCTGTTATTCACTAGTATCTCCTTGATGAGATCCGGGTCGGATACGGCCAGCCGGGGTGTTGATCCGAACCAATACAGAAATAGATCTCCATAAACCTTTGACCAATTGTGAAAGTGTGGCATCACCCTCTGAACAACTCCGTCATGGTTGAAAGAATTTAGGCATGATGATTCTGCCTCGACGATCATCCGCCGTCGGATCTGGATGGAGTTCCCGAAGATCGGATGGTAGCTGGGACCTCTGATGCCTTGTTGACGGAAGTGGCGTTGGATACGCAGTGGATTCCATACCAATTTGAAGAAAACTACGAAGAACAGAGGAGGAAGAAGATGAAGCAGCAGCCACACACTCATTTTTGTGATAGTGTGAAATCTGGCGTTGACCGTCAGTGGGTTTTGACAATTTTGACTATTTATACATATTTTTTTATTAATCTGGCGTTGACCTTCAAGATAATCATCTGGTTTGCAGATAGCCTGGAGTCACTACATTTATATCTTCGTGATCATAAGATGATTTTTATTCCTCCTTAAATTTGAACCTGAGATCTTCTGTTATTTTTTTATCTTTGGAGTCAAACTCAAACCAATCAGACACCACCTCGTGGTTATAAAAATAAAATATTGTTTTCAAAGTTTTATCGTATTTTATTTTGGGTATATTTATTAAGTTTATTTTTTTTAATTTGCTATTTATAAGATGAAATATAAGAATTTATCTATTTTTAGTAAGATGCCCAGTTTTAAATGTTTGACATATATTAATCAAATATCTAAAATTTTGATTTAAAATAAATTATTAACTAAATTTAAAATTCCAACTATTATAAATCGATTAATAATATTAACTTGAAGATTTACCAAAAAAATAATATAAAATAATATATTTTTATGGTAAAATTAAATTTTGTTTTACTTTTTAAGGATTAAATAAAATATAAAAGACATTATATATAGTATATACTAGAATGGTATACACGCAATGCAACGAGATACATCATGATTTTAATATTTAATTTTATTCTTTATCTCAGTCAATGTTATAATATGATTTTATGTGATTTTGATAAAGCGATGATGTTTTTATTTTTGAATAATAAAATATAAGTTTGAAGATATCATAAAATTTTGACAAAAATATATCGATATTAGTATCAAATTAACTATTTAAAATTCTTCATTTTTTTGTGTAATTTTTTAATTCAATTTTTTTTTGTAATTTAATTTAGATACAATAACGAAGTAATTTATATTTGTTTTAATAATATAATTTTCTTATAAAGATAATAATTATTTATTTTGTTAGAACTCGAAAATTATTATAATTATATTTTAGTTAATGAGATGTTTATTCTTTATTTGATTATATTTATCTGCAGTTAATTATACGAATTCAAAACTTTAATAAGTTGTATTTATGTATAATTACTTGTAATCTTGAATTTTAAATAATATGCATTAATATACA